CTCATGCCAGTCTCTGGGCTATGTTCCTGCTGTCTCTCATGTCGGTTTCTTACTCTGCTCCTGCCAACTGTCATGCCATATGCTAGGGTCTCTCTGCTGGGGTCTTGGGTCAAGGACACACTCCACTCCTGTTTCCACATTTTAGGTATCTGTCAGAGCAGCAACTGATCCTCTCAGTATCAAATTCTGTTCTGGTTACCTAGTGCCGCTCTGACAGGAATACACCACAAATGGGATGACCTTAACAAACAGGTATGTTTATTCTCTCACAATTTGGAGATTAAAAGTCCAAATTCGAAGTGCCACGTTCTATAGGCTGGGTGAAAGCCCCTCAACCTTGGGCTTCATTTCTGCCTCTTGCTCCCAGCCCACTGAAGCTAGAGGCATCTTTTCACTCAGGCAGCTAGTGGCTGCTAAGGCTAACAAGCCCAAGGTCGACAAATAATAAATAATGGCACAGTCCCAATGTTACCAAACCACACAGCAGGCCATTAATTTAATTCCATTGTAAGTCCCAAGGTCGGCATATCATGGCTGACTACTGAACAATGACAAGGCTACATGCAGGGTCCAAGTATGCCATAAGCTGGAGACCATTCCCAAAACTGCTGCTTATATACAGGAAGCTACCCAAAGGCAGCTACTCAGCTGCTTGTGGTGGATCCCATCCTGCAGTTGATTGCCAGTCTCATCATGGGCATTAACTACCACCAGCTGCCCAGCCAAGGCCCAGCCAAGTTGATACACAAATGTAGCTATCACAAAAGGGAATTCCAGACTACTTGATTATCCTCATGAGGAAGATGTATGTAGATCAAGAGTCTGTCATTCAAACAGAACAAGGGAATACTGCATGGTTTAAAATCAGGGAGTGTGTCAGGGTTTTATCTTTTCACCATACTTATTCAATTTTTATGCTGAGCAAATAATCTGAGATGGTGGACTATATGAAGAAGAATGTGGCATCAGGTTTGGAGGAAGACTCATTAACAAAATGCTATACACAGATAACACAACTTGCTTTCTGAAAGTGAGGATGATTTGAAGCACTTACTGATGAAGATTAAAGACTACTGTCTGCAGTAAAGATTACACCTCAATATAAAGAAAACAAAAATCTTCACAACTGGTCCAATAAACAGCTTCACAATGGATGGAGAAAAGATTGAAGTTGACAAGGACTTCATATTACTTGGTTCTACAATCAACACCAATGGAAGCCGCTGTCAAGATATTAGACAACATATTGCATTGGAAAAATCTGCTGCAAAAGACCTCTTTCAAGTGCTGAAGAGCAAAGATGTCTCCTTGAAGACTAAGGCACGCCTAACCCAAGCCATGGTATTTCCAATCTCCTCTTATGCATGTGAGAGCTGGACAATGAATAAGGAAGACAGAAGAAGAGTTGATGCTTTTGAGTTGTGTTGTTGGAGAAGAATGCTAAGAGTAACATGGCCTGCTAAAAGAACTAACTGATCTGTCCTGGAAGAAGTGCAGCCAGAATGTTCCTTGGAAGTGAGAATGGCCAGACTGTCTTACCTATTTTTGGTCATTATGTCAGGAGGAACCATTCACTGAAGAAGGATATTGTTTCGGTTTACCTAGTATCACTCTGACAAGAATATACGACAAATGGGATGGCTTGAACAAAC